TTCTCTACGGATTTCGCCTTTTTCAGAGAATGGGTTTTTTTTGCGATTGGGGGGGCGGTCGCCCCCCCTCCCCCTTGGCTACGCCCCTGGTTTCGGCGTTCGCCTAGATTTCCACTGGAAAAATGGGATTTCAACAACATTTGGGACGTTCAGCAGCAATTTCGCAGCTGTCAATTGGATTTGTTAAATCACTCGTGTGTCGTGTAAGCCAGATTGATATTGGCTCCCTGCCTCCCTGGCCTCATCCCTCTTGACCATCCTCAGTTTCGTATAAACAATAGAAACCTCTGGGCGAATTATTAAATGTTAAAAAATTGTCAAGAAAACTAGTGTGACTACTGGCTAGTAGCTTCTATAAACCTTTTTATATGTACGGTAGTTATTCATTAAACTGGTGAATACCATAACTGTTTAACTAAGGTTACATTACATGATGGTTCATGTTTTAGCAAAATCGTCCGCTGCGCTCAGTTTTTGAGGTATTCCTTGGAAATTTGGAACACACAATGATAAATAATTATGCAGACAACATGAAACTTTAGACTGCAGAAAATTTCACAAGCCGTTATTAAACTCATGTCACAGAAGTGGTAAAGGACACGTGTGACAACGTACTGAATGGTAACTTTTTGTAACGTTTTTGGCCAGGGGTGGGCAATTATTTTTTAATTGATATTTGAGGTTGGTAATCAAATTTTTGTCTTTTTAATAGTTGGGTCAGGAAAATTTTTGCCACGAAAAACATTTCTCTTCCGGTGCCACCCCCCACCATAAATAATGACCGGTCCCTTAGCGGACAACCAGCGGACAACGTCACAACACATACTCAGAAATACACAAAATTAATAACAAAATTCTAGGCCAAAGTGAGCCTGTCTCAAAAAAATAGTGTAATGGTGTATATTAGAATGTTAGGGTTTGTAATCCAAGTGAGTATATATACATTTTAAGACCTGACCAGGAACGATTGCGAAAAATGCAGCACAAGGTCCTCTGGTAGGAATTGAACCTACGGCCCTGCGATTCGTAATCGCCACCAAGTGAAGTGCAAGAAACCTGTAATGGTGTAAACGCGCGCCACATTTACCTTGGCCTGGCCAAGGCTTGTAGTGTAAATTACACGACTTGTGTGACCATCCGACATGGTTGGCGATTTCATCTTTGAATGCACCAATTAAAATTAAGAAGATTCAGTAGAAGAGAAATACGGCCAAAACCACCTCTGAATCCGTGAATCGTCTCATTGGTGTACAGACCCAATAACTTCAAAAATGTGACAAGCCTTGCTTGAGCTGCGGAGGCCAATGGGCTTATGGAAAAGAAAACCTGACGCCAAGTTAAGCGGCATTGCTTGTATTTGCACAATGTACGATAAAACTTAAGATTCGGAACTGGTGAGACGGCAGGAGTCTTGGGTGAAGTGAGATTGGCCGGCCAGCAGTTCCGCTTATGGCGTTCCCAAATCGCTGATAAGTAAAACTTCTGCCATCCGGATTCAACCCCGTTTCTAATAAAAGATAAGATCGCATCTGCCTCTCCGTCAGGAGCAATTGGCCGCCATTTATGGTAATGGCGAGTTCCCCGGAAATGGATGAGGACGAATTGCAAAAAAATATATATATTGTATCCTGTGGTCTGGCTAAGACTTGATACGTTGAAACAATACCCGGAGAGGGCCTACAATCACGTGCAAAAATAATGAGACTTTACGTATTTCAAACATTTTTTTCCATTTTGACACATCTACACTCATATAATTCGATCTTTCCTTACTATTTCCCCCCTCCCCCCATTGACAATGTTGGGTTCCTTCAAAAAGTACAAAAATACGAGAGAGTTAACATTTTCATAATTGGGAGGCAAGGATACTGAAAATATTGAAAATGGCGGACGTTCAGGGGGATGAAGCCTCTCTAAGCGCACTGGCTAGAAACATGGCGACAGTATTGCAACAGTTAAGCCAAAATCATAGGCAAAACCAAGAAGTCGGCCCACTGTAAGGTTCCTATTCTGTGGTAAACTGAGCGTTATAAAAGGGAGAGTTAAGGTCTGAGAGAGAGAGTTATGATTTCGGAGAGTTAAGTTCGAGCCACGCCCACTTTTTCCAACGATACCCAATATTCACAATAACGTACTGCTTGAAATTAAACTGTTACACAATGTTCTACCCTTATTCCTAAATCTACTCCCATGACACCAAATCAGTTTTCATATAAATTTTGTAAAACTGATATTAAATATGCAAGTTCAGTTCAGATGACGCATCTTCTTCATTAAGCTTTAAATTTGGTCTCGGATCCGGCTGCACTTCAGATTTTGCCCATGTGCACACTGTAACCTGCATCAGTATTCGTTCTGTAAAAAAGATAACGGGATAATGAGATGCTGTGGGATAAGATAAGAGGGGGGGGGGGGCAAGGGTATTTTCGTGACTCGTGATTAGCAATTATTCGTGCTTCGTGATTTGAAGAAATACCATTCCGTGAATCGTGATTAATATGCGTGCCGTGAATCGTGAAGAGCTAAAAGGGCTAGCTAGGGCCTGAATGTACCAATATTTTACCCTAACGTGAATGTTTACGTTTAAAACTCTGCCCAAATTTAATATTAAGGTTAAAAAAATGAATAAATTTGCTTTCCGCGGTTATCTTTCTTGAGGTTTCTTCGTTTCATCGTAAACGTCGTTGTCGTATACCTTCGTACCTCTTCGTAGACTTCGTGAACCATTGTAAGACGCTCGTAATGTTTCGTAATGCCTCGCAATGATTTCCACAGTCCTTTAAAAGCTCTAATGTTAAAGTCAGTAAAATGTGTTTGTGTTAACATGATTTCTGCTGTCTAGAAAATCGTTAAATGGTTTCCGACTTTGTTACGCTTCTCAGGTGTTTCTAAAACTCGTGAAAATGAAATTTTGCTTTTCGTGACTCGTGAAATCTGAAAATGATCTTCGTGATTTCGTGACGAGACCTCCCTTGCCTCCCCCCCCCCCTCATGTATGGTACCTTTAATTTTAGACTGCATGCCATCAGCTCAGTCTGACGAAGGCGCCCGGTGGCACCAGTTGCTGACGAAGGCGGTGGCATGCTGCCGAAAATTAAAGTTACCACACATATTTTTTATTAATTACTTGTAGTCGTGGCAGTGTTAATTAATAACTTGTTTGCTATATATATATATTGTTTATGTTATGGTTGAGAAGACTTTACTTCAGATTTTGCGATCGAGGCGAAATCCTAATCAAACAACTGCATTCTGCAGGAATCGACTGCCGGACACATAGGTGGAAAATATATAAGCATGTATCAACTTGCTATAGTTGATAGGAAACGGCTAAACGTTTAATCTTTGTATTTCTATTAAACAGGAGTGACGAGGAGCAAGTTAAACTAGTTCCAGTGCGGCAGTTGGTATGTTCAAATTTCGTGTGTACTGCCGTGATGTATATATACTTTTCATTACTTTAGTATTGTTTGCTGACCTCAGCCTTGTAAGAATAGCATTAACGTTGGGTGTCCAAATGAATCGTTTGCTGAAAAAATGGTAGTCTGGATAAATTTACAGGTCCTTGATAGGTGCACTAGATTGATAAATAGATAATATAAATCCTCATTGCTGCATGGATAATGTGCAATAAAGTGTAATACACTGTAAAACACTGCTTCTCCCATTTCACAATTATGAGATCAAGGGCCCTTAGGAAAATTTTATGACGTCATAGGGTCCCCAGGAAAGCTTGCCTCGGCCCCCGGCAATCACTCGGCATCCCTGGCGCTACCATTCATAAACACGTTTCTTCTTTT